TAGCGTCATGTGCTTATTCTAAAGCACCACACCAGGACTCCTTCACATGTCTAGAGATAATATACACAGCCGTGGTGAGTCTGTTGATTAAGCATTGAGCTTATTAACGTCAAGGTCAGTAGTTCAAATCCACCAGCTACTCTGAGGAAAAAGCAACTCGCCTCCCATAAAGATTATAGCTTTGGAAACCCTATAGGGCAGTTCTACTCTGTCTTACAGGTCTACTACGAGTCAGAATGGACTTGACAGCAATGAGTGTGGTTTAGTTTATAGTTACTAGTCTCCCGTAGGAGAAAACAAAGAGACAGAACTGAGTTTTAGCAACCTCTTTGCTATTTATTAGCCATGCAGCCTTGGATGGTTTGTAATGCCACTCATTTCAATATCTTCATCTATGTAATGGGAAAGCAATACCTTTCCTTAAGACTGCATGAGGATTACTTCCTGACACCAGGAAGACAATCCATAAATGACAGCGACACTGTATCATAACCATGGAACTGAATCTTAGTCTGTGGCTTAAGCAACTGTTGTCTTCTTTCTGCCTTCTCTAGGTTCTGAATAAACCCTCTTCTGCATCTGCTCAATGGGGATATAGCCCATCTCCAGTCGACCTCACCAGGGAATGAAGATAACAAAAGAGCTGGCAGAGACATTATGCAAATACCAAATATTATTAAAACATTAATGAACTCTAGCAATTTCCCTGAATTTTGATAAATGGTGTTTATTACACACTGCCAGCCTCTCACACAATCTGGGTGCTCAAATATTAAGTAGCTAATAATAGCAATCATTCTCCTAAAAGACCAAGGTATAGAGAAATAAAGGATTCCAGTTAAAACCTGCCTCCAAAGAAATCTGAGTCTATGAACAGAAAAAAAGAGAACACTGGGAGAGGTCATGGAGACCACAGTCACCACAATGACCACAAGTAGACTCATTTCTGCCCCAACATCTATCCAGAATTCCACTTTGATAGGTCAGTGAGACGAGGATTCTTGGTGCAGAGAGATCATTGGTTATGACAACTTTCTACTACCACTTTGCTCTTTTGTACAAACTTGCCTCCAAACTAAACAGAATGAAGCTCTGGGAGGCTGGGAGGCTTCAGTCCAGACAAGCAATCAACAGAAAGACAATTGCTGCCTCCCACCTCCCCCAACCTGTCCCCAGTCCCTCCTACCAAAAAAAAACAAAAAACATTGCCATGGAGTTAATTCCAATTCTCGGTGACCCCATTGTGTTGCAGAGTAAAACACATCTATTGGTCCACAGCATCTTCTTACATGCAATCTTTAAAAAAGCAGATTTCCTGGCTACCTCAGAGCTACTGGGTAAATAAAAACTGCCAAGCTTTGGGTCAGTGTTGTTGTTTTTAGGTGCCATCGAGTCAATTCCAACTCATAGCAACCCCATGTACAACAGAACAAAACACTGTTCACTCCTGCCCATTCTCACAGATGTTAAGTTAAAGCCCACTGCTCCTGTCATTGGGCCAATCCATTTCATTGGGGGTCTTCCTCTGTTTTGCTGACCTTCCACTTTAGTTAGTATGATATCCTTCTTCAGGGACTGAGCCCTCCTGACAACATGTCTTAAGAATGAGAGACGAAGTCAGGCTATCCTGGCTTCCAAGGAGCACTCTGGTTGTATTTCTTCCAACACAGATTTGTGTTTTTTTTTCTTTTGGTAGTCCATGGTACTTTTAATATTCTCCTCTAACACCGTAACTCAAATGCATCAATTTTTCTATGGTTTTCCTTATAAATGTCCAACTTCCACATGCATATGAGGCTACTGAAAATACCATAGTTTGGATCAAGGGTACTTTAGTCCTCAAACTGACATCTTTGCTCTGGAACACTTTAAATAGGTCTTGTGTAGCAGATTTGCCTAATGCAATATGTCATTTGATTTCTTTACTACTGCTTTCCTGAGTGTTGACTGTTGATCTGAGCAAAATAAAGTCATTGACAACTTTAGTCTTTTTTCCATTTATCATGATGTTACTTATTGGTCCAGTGATGAGGATTTTTATTTTCTTTACATTGAGGTGCAACCCATACGGAAGGCAGTGATCTTTGATCTTCATCAGTATTCTAAGTCCTCTTAGTTTTCAGCAATGAAGGTTGTAGCATCTGTATATTGCAAGTTGTTAATGCATCAATAGTCAAGTTAATGGGTCATTAGTTAATGGGTCAGTAGTCAAGTGCAGGAGTCCTGGTGTGGCACTGTAGGATAAGCATTTGATAGAGAGGTCGGTGTGAACCAAAAGGTCAGTGGTTCAAACTCACCAGCTGCTCCTCAGAAACTCTATACGGGGTGACTATAGTCAGAAATGACTGGAGGGCACTTAACAACAGTAACAAGTACAAAGCCTTTGTGCCATGCAAAGATCTTCTTCATCCCCTGCTGCCCAAAAGAAAAAAGAAAAGAGGCAAGTGCTATCTATAGCTCTATTCAAAGAAGCTTTTACCAAATTCCTTTGACATTGTATCTGTGTGAGGGGATAATGTTTTTCAGCTTTTGACAATCCCAGGTGCAGCTCAAATGCAGACAGAACAAAGCCAAGAGGACCTGTCCCCTAATACCGCCACCCCCAACCACAATGCTTAGAAACCAGGACCTAATGCCACTCCAGTGACACCTCAACCTACTGGGTTCATTAAGATACCGCATTTGCATATTTATGAAATATCCAAGGTGGTGGCAAGTGAAACAAGTACACAATAAGAGATTTTGTTTTTTAAATCATGCGAAAATCTGCTTTAGAAAAAGTAAATCCACACAGACCCTTTCTGTCACCAATCCTTCACTGTGTGGAGCAACCAGCACCTCATTAAAGAAAGCAAGGAACTCACAAATGAATGCAGCACCACACATAGGCAAACTCATTTCACCACCTGCCTTCTAGTGTCCAGAGGGGCAAGAGGCTTAAATGACACTCTCCTGAATTTTCTCTCCTGCAGGTGAAAACAGAAAATTCCCAGGAGGCACGAAAGACTTCTCTTGCAAGGTCAGTGAAGTAAAAAGGAATAGAAGCAAATTTAGGTTACCTGTCAACACAGTGCCACCAGTAACATTATATTCATGTTCAAATTAAGGGTCCTAAGATAATGCTGTCTTCATATCTGGGTAATTGGTTTGGTTTTAACTCGGTGTGATCAGCTATGTGTTCTTAATGAGACAGGCATCTAAACTTATCCCTCCCCACAGCCTCCCATTTTCTGATGCAGGACAATCCTTTTTATGAGAACAGTAGTGAGGTTGGCAAAGGATCGGGCAGTGTTTCGTTCTGTACTCCACAGGGTGGGTCGCTCCGAGTAGGTACCAACTCGATGGTATGTAACAACAACAAAAACCTTTTTCTAATGATCTAGGGCAGGAGACAGCAGACTTGGGGATAATGATAATGACACAACTATTATTTAAGACAAAGGGAAAGACCATGATTAAGCAATTTAAATAACTGTCCTGACAATTACTATTCTGGTTTTTCTGATCTAAAGCTTTGTCAGCTTGGAAAACTTCCCTCTGGAAGCTCACACTTCGCCTGGCTAGGGTTTTTTGTTTTTTTTTTTTTTATGTTTTTAAGTTATTCTAAATAGTTGAATAGTCAAAAATACCAGTGGAGAGCTTTTTAATCCATACACAATCTAGGATATACTTGGGGAGAGTGGGACAAAACTTCCCAAAGCGTTACTACAGACGACCATGCGCTCAGTTTATACTGCTATAACCCCCATCATCTGCGCTTTGGGGAAGACCAAACAATCCTAGACAGAAGATAACCCAAAATAAACTAGAACTGCAACAACAGATAATGGGCTACAGAGAAGTAGATGGAGAAGGAGGAAGGCAAACGCCCCGTCTTTCTCTGTGGCCGAGACCCTTTCGAATCAAATTCTCCACTACCTGGCATTTATCGAGCGCACACAGAGATCCGCGGTTGATAGCACTACACTGGACTCCATTCTGCGGAATGTTAACGACCCGGCCACATGCTGCAAGCTAGCTAGCCTTCTACTGGTGGACCCCGTAGGCTGCATCCGAGGCCCCCAACGGCATGTCACCTGGGGAGGGATTCGGTCTCCTAGGCCTGGTTGATTGTCCTTTACACACTACTCTGCAGTTGGTTTAAAGACTCGTAGCTGCCAGGCTGCGAGGTGGGGATGAACGACATATTTTCTTCCCTCCTGTATTTCCAGGGTTCGAAACTCGAGGGCACGCATTTTGGACAATACACAAAGAGGAGACTGCCGGAGCTCCTTGCGGTCAGATCACTGAGCCTAGTCATTTTCGAGCAGGGAATTAGGAATTCGCTCAGCAAGAACCCTGGAGAAACACCGGAAACGCTTCCGATCTCATCAAAGGCAAGTCGATTTGCAAATCAAAGTTGCAGGAACTCTGGGCGCCCAGCCTACTTCAGCGGGTTACTCGGGAACACCCAACAAGTTTGGCCACCGGGGGCTCGGTATGACAGCGCCGCGGCGCAAGACTAGAGAAGCAACTTGTCGCAAGGGCGCCAAGCCAGAGCTCCTAGCTGTCTTGGCTACCGAAGCTCAGGAAAGGACCCGAGACCCGGCGATGGGAAGGTGCAGGTCTGAGGTTCCTGGAGCTAAATTCCCAAAGGCTCCGCCGAGTCTCACCTGGACAGACCTGCTTCCAGGGGCTTCTCCCCAACATTGAGACATTTCACCAGGAACACCTCACCTATCTACTAGTCCGAGCGGGTGAGAAATTAACAAAAGAGTCAACGAACGAGGGAAAAAATGAGAGAGACTCCGAGCAAAGTACAGTAAGAAGGAGAGGGAAGGCAGCTTAGCTAGCCGCGGAGAAAGAAGGAAAGAGGCGGAACAGAGATGGGTTATACCCCAGGCACCCGGCTCCAGTAAGGAAACCCAAGAGAAAAGAGAGAGCGAGAAGGGGAAATGGTTTTCTACCCCTTTCTCACCACACACACATACACACACAACCTCCCTCTTTTCCTTCCTTACCCAGCATGGAAAAGATGAAATCCTTGGCTGTATGAATCTCCAGCGCTCTCTGATCGTCGTATTCCCGTTGGTCGTGCTTGGTGAATTCTTGGATGAGTTTGTTCAATTCCTCCACTCGAGCTCCTGACCTGAAATCCAGCTCCGGGAACGAAGGCTTGTTGTTACAGCCCAGGGAGGCTGCCTTGCTGGCGGTGGGAGCCGCCATCTTCATGCAAAACGCGCTGAGTAGCAGCTCCGCCGCGGCGGCAGCACCCACCCCCGCCCCCCACCCCGCCCCCCTGGACCTCCTCCCTTCGCCGGCTCCCTGGCTGAGGCCCTGGCCCGTGGGCGTGCTGGCAGGCGGGCGCCTGGGCGGGCGGTCCTCTGCTCCGTGCGCTCGGAGCGTCTGGACTTCGGGAGGAGCTGGACTGCAGCGAGGGTGCGTGTGTGGCCCCGACACCCTTTTCTCCGGCCCCACGTCCTCCCTGATGCTGCGGGTCTCTGCCCTCCCTTGTCCTTCGCTGGCGGAGGCAACAGTGGTCACTGAGCCAACCAGAGCCTTCCTCCCAGCGAGGAAAGTGAAGTGGAAACAATGTGAAATTCACCAGCTCTGAAATCAACAAGCTGCCGGCTCCGGTGTTACGGAGCCAGCGGCAGCGTCCCCATTTAAAGGGACAGCGCACCCAGTGGAAAGAAAAATAAATAAATGACAGAGGGCTGTGCGTCTCTGCCACTTGCCAATCTGTACTCGGGCAGACGCGCGAGGTGTGGACGTATTCTTTCTCCACCTCCACCCTCCACCCCTTTTGGGGCAGGGCTTGCCAAGCATGTTGGAAGAGAAAGGAGTCTCCCTACGTTTGATTTAAGGGCGGTGTCCTGGGCAAGTGTGTTAATGCCTTTCCATCTCTATCCCAAGAACTCCAATGCCTTTAGAGGGTGAAAACCCACACGCATGTAAAATCTATCTTCCTCCTCCTCCTTTATTGTTTTCTATTTTGACTAAATTGCTAACTATAACGGAGATAAGCGTATTTTGAAAAGAGATTTGCCCACGCGATTCCATATGGACGTACCCGTTAGCCACGAAAGTATCCCTACCTTTGCTCCAGGTAATTAATTTTCCTGAATAACAGCCTATTCAGCTTAACAAACATATAATGAGTTAATGAAATCCAAACCACTCAGGTAGATGAAGGAAACGGATGGAGGAAGGGGGAAAGGAATGAATTGCCCCAAGTTCCAATGAATATAGAATGACTGAAAATTCTCTCCTTCAGCAAATACAATTTCAACACCCATTATTTGCCAGGTACAGTACCAGAATCAGGATGGGCAGTGATAAGTCAAAACACATGGTTCCTGCAGTCCACCTACACTTAAATGCCGATGCAGGGTACATCTAAATCTATGTCCTTTAGACAGAGCAAGAACTCAGATGTGTTTTTAGTGTTTATGAAGTATTTGACTCAAGTACTTTGATCCATTGACTCTTAAATACAAAGATCACCTCCCTCCCTAATGCTCCGAAGTCTTTTCTCTGTTCTACAACACCTGGTTTGTTGTAGTTATGTTTGGTTTTCCCAGGAGTGGCTGGTGAGTTTGAACCGCTGACCTTGTGGTTCAAACGGACCTTTTGATCCAGTGCTTTGCCCTATAGCGCTACATAGGGCATTTTTTAATTTCTTACTTCTCATGGTCAAGAATACACACTGCTTTATTATCCTTGGAGAAAGGTTGAGGGTCTGCCATGTCTTCCTCCTGTAACATAGACATATAAGCATTAAAGTAAGTCAAACAGCATAGTTACTGGTGTTCCAGTTCAGACACATTGCTGTTGTTAGGTGTCATCCAGTAAACTCCAACTTATAAAGACCATATGTACAACAGAATGAAACACTGCACCATCTTCACAATTATTGCTATGGTTTAGCCCATCGCCACCACTGTCAATCCATCTCATTGAGGATCCTCTTTTTCCCGGACCCTCCATTTTAGAAGCGTGATGTCCTTCTCCAGGGACTGGTCCTTCCTGATAACATGTCCAAGAATGAAAGACAACGTCTCACCATCCTCGCTTCTGACAAGCATATTGGCCGGAGTTTTCCTAGCACCGACTTGTTCCTTCTAGCAATTCATGGTGCTTTCACCACCACAATTCAAATTCTTCTACTGTCTTCCTTATTTACTGTCCAGTTTTTGCATACGTACAAGGTAAGTGAAAATACACTGGCTTGAATCAGACCAACCTTAGTCTTCAAACTGACATCTTTGTTCCAAAAGACTTTAAGGAGATCTTTTGCATCAGATTTGCCTAATGCAGTATGTCATTTGATCTCTTCACTGTTGCTGCTTCAATTAATGTTGATTGTGGGTCCTAGTAAAATGGAGTCTTTGATCACTTTCATCTTTTCTCCATTTGTTGTTGTTGTAAAGGGCTGTCAAGTCCGGTCTAACTCAAAACGACCCTGCATGATGCTAGTTATTGGTCCAGTTGTGAGGAATTTTGTTTTCTTTTAACTGATATTCATCATTAAGTACTTTAAGCCCTCTTCACTGTTAGCAAATTTTTATCATCTGCGCATCGAAGATTGTTAATGAATCTTCCTTCAATCCTGATGCCACATTCTTCTTCATGTAATTCAACTTCTCAGATTATTTCTTTAGCATAATCTGAGTACGCATGATAATATGATTACTATATTGTCAGGAGGGACCAGTCACTGGAGAAGGATATCATGTTTGGTGAAGTGGAGAGTTGGAAAAAAAAGAGGAAGACCCCCAATGAGATGGATTGGTACAGTGGCAGCATTAATGGACTCAAACATAAGCAACGATTGTTTAGTTGGCCTAGGATGGGGCAGTGTTTTGTTCTGCTGTATTTAGGATTGCTATAATGACTCAATGACACCTAATTACAACAATTAGGGTAAAAGGATACAACCCTGGCACACATCTTTCCTGATTTTAAAACATGCTGTATCCCCTTGTGCTATTTGAATGACTGCCTCTTGGTCTACGTATAGGTTCCTCATGAGTTCAATGAAGTGGTTTGGAATTCCCATGTTTTGCAATATTATCTATAGTTTGTTAAGATCCACACAATTGAATGCCTTTGCATAGTCAATAAAGCACAAGTAAACATCCTTCTGGCATTCTTTGCTTTCAGCCAAGATCCATCTGACGTCAATAATAACATCCCTTATTCCACGTCCTCTTCTGAATCTGGTTTGAATTTATGGCAGCTTTGTATCTTGTGAATCTGGTTTGAATTTATGGCTACAACAATTTTTTAATTATCTTCAGCAAAATTTTACTTGCGTGTGATATTATTTATATTGTTCAGTGATTTTCACATTCCATTGGGTCATCTTTCTTTGGAATGGGCACAAATATGAACCTCTTTCATACCAGTGGCCAGATAGCTGTCTTTCAAATTTTGTGGCAAGATGAATGAGTACCTCCAGCACTACACGTTTGGTAAAACATTTCAGTTATATTCCATCAATTCTGGAGTCTTGTTTTTCACCAATACTTTCAGTGCAACTTGGACTTGTTCCTTTCATTTTAGATCATATGTTACAACCAGAAATGCTTGAACATCGACCAAATTCTTTTGACACATTGACTCTGTATATTCCTTTAACCTTCTTTTGATACTTCCTGTGTTGTTCAATATTTTGCCCGTAGTTCAGACATACATAGATTTATTCTGAACAAAATTTATTTAAACATTTCTCTGATCTAAATGCTGCAGATAAGTTCTCTCAGCAATACATTTGTCATAGTTTCATTAAGGTGTATTGAGAAAAAAAAAATCTAATTAAAATATTGGCTTCTAAGGGGATCCTCTAGGCCAATTCAATTTAAGGCAGAGAGGTCAGTTCAGAAGGTTATACCAACTATTGTTTGCTATCCTAAAGGGGTAATCTTGATAGTTTTGTTTTCTGAGGGACCCAGGATGATCACAGGGCCTCATTAAGAGGAAATTTTAAGAAAATTGAAAACTGCATTGGTTAATAAAAGACGAGGAAAGTTGCACCAATTCCTCCCCTCCCCCCCTCACTACAATACACCTGCTTTGATACTTTCGAGGGTAACAGGACTGTCCTATGAGAATTTTGGTGGAAAACGTTACCCTATCCCCTCTACAACTCTGTTCTTTTCTCTCTACTCTTCTCTTTGTTCACCAAACTCAAAGAAGATTTTAAAGGAACATAATTTATATCCTTTGAGGATGCCAAAACTGTCTTGGCATGGTGTAAATTAAAGAGCGAGAAATCTTTGGGGAAAGTGTGTTGTTGTTGAGTGCTGTCAAGTCAGTTCTAACTCATAGCAACCCTGTATTGAATTTCTAAGGAGCAGCTGGTGAATTTGAACTGCCAACCTTATGGTTAACAATCCAGTGCTGATCCTACAGCACCATACAAAGACCACAGTGATTGGGGAGGAAAGATGGAAACATTGCCTACAAAAGTACATGGACCTAGATGGAAGATATGTGGTGAAACAATAGCTTCACATTTTGATATTTTTGTTTAACAATGGTTTCTATGATTTTTTTGTAACAATACTTTTGACTTAACCCTTTTAATTCCTATTTCTTAGATTACTTTAAGGAATTCCTGACATAATAAGCAGGTATTAAATGTTAGCTGTTGTACTGGTATGGTGCTGCAGGCTAATGCACTGGACTGCAAAGTCAGTTTGAACTGCAAGGTTGGTGGTTCAAGCTCACCAGCAGCTCCTCCAAAACTCTATACAGGGTCACTATGAGTTGGAAGTGATCAATAGCACTTAATAACAACAACATTATCAACTGCTACTATTGTTATTGTTATAAAGTTAATTCTTTCTCTTCCCCCAAATGGTTGTTGCCAAGGCTGTCTTTGCAAAACACAAATCTGGCTATTGACACCTAGAATGCCTCTTCTTTTCAGTTCCTCCCCAAATTTACAACAAGACCAGTTTCTATACCCTTCTTTTCCTGGAACTCCCCCTGAGATCACACCTTTCCAAACTGGTGGGCAGGCACTTCTCCTTCCTCAGAAACCCCATTGCACCTTCTCAGAACCTTTCACACAACACCCATCAATGTTGACCTTGCTTTGTCATTATTTATGCAAGTTACGAAAGCATGTGCTTCTTGTGGACAAGGAATACATTTTATTCATCTTGGTATTTCTTTCTGCACTTAACTTTCTAGGAGGGTCCTTTGTGTTTCTTGAATCAAGTAATGAGTGGA